TCATTCTAAGAAGAGATAATATTCTTGTTATGCTGTACCTAGAGGGATCAACTTCCTTTTAGCCATCCTCTGAATCCTATCCTTTTTTTCTTTTATCACAAAACCATGTATCAAAATTCCATAATAAATATCACCATTCATTCTAAGAACAGATAATATTCCTGCTATAATTTATCAAGATAGATCAATTCCTTTTCAGCCATCATCCTATAAACGTCCTTTGACTTTCCAACCTCCATAACTGCATCAAACCCATAACCCATTAGTCATGGGATTCCAAATTACAACAAAATCTCTTTCAGGAAAGTCATCAGACGTTCTTAGTGCCTCATCACAAAATCCCCATTTCAAATAGATACACATCAATGCATTTCCTACACACAATCACTCCTCCAACACGACTTTATAACAATGAATGTGTGTCTTCTGATCATCTATGACATTGAAACAAGCTTCAAACCCAGAAGGGATAGTAAATTTATCAGGAAACAATCCAGTCGTTAGCAAAAGTCAAGAGCTAGTTTGTAAAATCCACGGGAAATGAGACCATCAACATTGGCGTTCTAAGCAAACGCATTTTCATGATGGGCCAAAGAAAGAATACTAACAATGCCATCAGACATGGATATTGAGCACTGTGGTAGATGTTGATGAGGCTGGGAAAGAAGGAAGTAGAACAGATACAAAGATGTGCCAGTGGAGTTGCGAGCCTCCTTTGAGGTCTCATTGATCGGCACAGAATCAGAGAAATGCAATGTATGCTGCAAGTGACAGGGCAAGAGACTGGTTTAGTTGGGATGAGAACATTAAGGAAGATTGGAAAGCTTTCTTCTTGTAAGGTTTCAATGTCAAAAACTTGGTTGGGATGAGAACATTCTTCTTGTAACTTTGGATGTCAAAAAGATTTTTGCTCATAAATTTTAAATGGGGTCTACAGGCTACCCCCTACTGTAAAAGATTCAGAACATAAAATCCACCTCCAGAAGCCTCTACATAACACTTCAACCACTATATTCTGTCATTCCATCAATTTGATTCGAAATACTTAAAACAGCATTTCAGTGCTGCCACCTCTCCTTTGGCATTTTACCATTTGACATAGGCGAGGAGCTTGCAGACTTTCAGAATCACAGCATCTCATTTCAAGACCATAATGTTCTGGATATTGGAATTTGTGACATAGAGTGTGATGTGCAGATATCACGCACAGGTTCTTGTTGCAAGAAAAAACAATCCAGCAAACCATAACTGGAAAGCAACAGCATTAGGTCCCCAAGGGCAATGCAAAAATGCAGGTTGCATATAAATATTGCTCCCTAATCACATACTGTCATGTTCTTTGATCCACTCTAAACAGTTTTATGAATTCAAGCAGAAGTCACCCAGCAAATCCACTGTATGTGACCTAGATAAATACAACCACATAGACCATTAATGCACGTGATGCGGCAAAATCAACAAACCATTAAAATCAACCTTAGTCTTTCTTCATACATTGTGATATGACTAAAACATTGAAGCATAATGTACTATATTCATCTACCGAAAAGCCATAAATCTTTGCAGCATGATGTGCTAAGAGTTTAAGCAAGTAGAATTCAGAAACACATTGGCTCAGGGGACCAAGTCAATCAAATAGCTTCAGTTAAAAGAACCTTTTGTTGAACTTCCAGGGGAATCAATCATTTAGTTTGCTCATTTAGGCAATGCCACTCATGTAGAAGCTTTCAACTTTGATAGTTAGTGTAAGAAGAAAACTAAAATCAGAAAAGGAACCAGTAAAATGGCCATGGGAAACTACACAAGAATATGGATTTGAAATCAAGACAGATTAATCCAACTCACGAATGTTCCGAAGAAGCAAGGATTTTTCCGTTTTCCCTGAAGATATCATTTTCAAAAATACAGTTTCTGAATAAACCCTACTCATCTTTTGCCACGGAACACCAGTTTTATCACTCCTCAACGATATTAAATACGTTTCCCATGATTTCAGTTCAAAAGGAGAAGGGAATAGAAGAAGAGGGCTAATCCAAATTAAGTTGAAGAAACTAAAAAATGAAACTCACCTTATACATGCAGAACCAGTAGGTAAATTTGCGTCCTCTGAAAGAGCAAAATCGGGAAAAAGGGCCTATCTTGGAGCTTGAAGATTCAGCCCAGCAGCCAGCAAAAAAATAAAAAAACAAAAAGGGGGGTTTAAGGGTCTGTCAGAACACCACAAGACCATCCCAGACCGGCCGGAGCACGGGCTGAGAACGATCCTCTACGGCGAATCCGGCCCAGAAGGGCGCGGAGAGCTGTTAATCACGCTCTGGTCAAGTGGGAATGATTCATCTACCAGACTTGATTTCCTGTCTCCTTAGAACTCAAGGATACAGAGGTACGATCCTATAGAACAGATCCTGTTCAAGTAAGGTCGTGCCCTTCTCTGCTGAATCTGAACCTTATATAGTGAGCTCCTGTCATGTAAAACGCCGATGTGGGACAAATAGTCAAATCATTTGAAGTGTCAAAAATAAAACTGATTTCACTTCGTCGTTTCTAGCTATATTCATGGCCAATTCTGTTGAAATCCCATAAGCCAAACCAAGGGAATTCTTGGAATGGTACTACCATGATACCATTCGGCCTCAATCATAAGACACGAATTAGTTCACATTTATTTTTATAATTGAGATCGTAAGGGAATAATAGTAATAGTAATTAGTTCAATGGTACTCCCTCCATTCACAAATAGATGTCGTTGGAGGAAAACTCAAATATTCTAAAATAGATGTCGTTCTCACAAATCTAGGCATATTTTATCAATTTTTTCCAATATCACCCTTACATTGGAAATTGTTGTGATGTTTAATGTAGAATTATATTAGAAGTGAATTTTATTGGGACTACAATTGAAATTAGAATAAATGAGGGTATTATAGTATTTTAACAAGATAATTATTGCCTCCTTAAACTTTGTGAAATCTCTCCAGTAACATCTATTTGTGAATGGAGGGAGTATGAAACAATCAACACAACAAATTCTGGAGAGTTAATTTGTGACGATTTCCAACATAACTGAATAAAAACAACTTTTTCCTAAAAAAAAAAAAAAAACACTGTTCAAACATAGAAGCGATAATATGTAGCACAGCCACATTCGCAAATCAACAAAACATAACCATGCTATGTTTATTATATTTCCCACTCCAAAAAGAATAATCATTTTTGTTAAAGTATACCAATTAAATAAAATATTTTTATTTTCTTTTTGAGATAAAAAAAGTACAAAATAATCGAAACATAAGTGTATTGTGCACAATAGACTGAATTTTTAAAATAATAATAATAATAGAAAAGTTGATTGAACAACTGATAGCAATTAAACTTACAATTTCAAGAATGGTTCGAGTGAAGAAGGCTATAGAGTTCAATTTGGTGTTGATTATTCCTTGAAAGATATGACTGGTTCAATAACTTGAAGACGAAAGAAGATGCAAGAACTCTTGTCTAATTTAATCACTACAAGTCATTCCAAAGAATTTTTTAAAGATCTTACTGTCGTGCTCAAATTTACACATTTTTTGGAGGTTTTGGATCATGGACGGCTCACACAAAATTGATGCATAAAAGACTTTTCGAGACATTAATTTTTGGGTAAAATTAAATTACAAATTCCTTCAACAAGCCCAAAATGATTTGACACTTCAAAAGTCAGATTGGGTAAAAAAATAGTGTTCAATTAATTTAACTCTTTTTGTTTTTTTTTTTTGAAGAAGAAGAATTCAAATCTTGAAAATAATAAAAACGTGCAACTAATCTGGTTAAATTCATGCATTCAAAGAAGTTAAAGTCAATCTAAAAAATTGCAAAGTTAAATTATTATTTTTATTAAATCTTGAAAACCACAAACTATGTCTTGAAAATCACAAAGTCAATCTTGAAGACCGTAAAGTCAAGTAATGATTTTTATTTTTTTTTTGTTTTTGTTTTGATGGTTCTTAATAGTTTCATGTTTTCAATATATCTTTAAACATTTTCATTATTTTTATTATTATTTTTTTCTTTTTACAATTGTCAAGTCAAAAAAAAAGGGGAAAAAAGAAACACACACCAGCAATGCGAAGTTGCGAACCAAAGCAAGCCTTTATCGGTTAGTGTTAAAACTTGTAATAGACCTCATGATTCAGTATTACCATGGTTTGTTAAATCAATTGGTTATTATACTCCACAAAATTCTCTTTATCCAATCTAGCAGGGTTAAAAACGAGTACATCTTTTTCAGTACAACGACTGCACACAATTGATGGAAGAGTGCTAATTTTACGGGAAAGAAAGAAAAATATATGAGCTAAAAAACAATGAAATAAATCCTTCTTGATTGATTGTGCTAAAAATATGCGTATACTCTCTGTATATTAGATTTTTCTGTTAGGAACAATGTCGTAATTCTTATTAATTCTTATTTAATTCTCTATACAGTTTGATATTCAGTTCTACAGTAACAAAAAATAAACATTCAAACAAATCAATCTGATCGTTGTATCGTACTTATAATGACAACTTTTGGGACAATTATCATCATCATCCAATATATTGTTCTATATCTCCTATCACGAGGTACATGGTGTTCGACAAGCAACAGTGACTAATTTCTCTCGCTCATAATAGACATCTCGAAGGTTACTCCATGCCCATGAAAAGGTTTGAACCCTCGACCTATAGTTAAAGGTGGAGGAGTTTTTACTACTCCACAACCCTTTTGGTTATATACATATTTTTTTATACTAGATTTTTTATCTTAAATATCAAAAAATTCAATGCGGACTATATCTTTGCGAAGTAAGGAATATTAGTTCAAATTAGCCCAATTGATTGAAATGCCCGTCCACCCAACCGTGAAGAATTAATCCAGGTAAAAGCTGATCTCCTCCTAACGGTAAAGAGAGGAGACAAGGCAATAACTTGCAAAGATATCTTTAAAGTGCATGAATAAAAAAATCTAGCTAAGATCATCATTCTCTACTGAGACACAGAGCAACCTTAGTTTTCTCAACAAAACTGAGTTGAAACTTGGAAAAAGTGTATTGGAACATGAAAGAGCTTGATCCAGTCCCAATTGTTGAAGTCTGAAATGGACCAAAGAGGATTAACCATAAAATCATCTTGTCAAGAGAATTTCTGATGAAGATCATAACGTTTGCAGAATCAATTTCTGCAATGAAATGAAATGCCCAACGCATGGGATAAACACTAATAATAATAATAAAAAAAAAAGTCACCGTTCATTTTCCCTACAAACTACAAATTTGCCCCAACTGCTCTCCATTTATACACACCGCTGGTTGGGAAATGTAAGGGTTGTCTCCACCACTTTCAATTCCCTCACCATACGCGCCTAGTAAAGGGGGTGTAGCAGGAAAGGGAAGAAAAAAAAGCCTAAATCTTTATGTGTTGTAAATACAGATTAGGCTGTTTTGGTTCAGCAGCCTCTGGTATGGATGAGGAAGATCATAAAACTGTGATGCTGCTGGGAATTGCAGCATCCAGAATTGGAAAACAAAAGCTCTCCCGAGTTGCTTGCTAAAGATTCAAGGTGGCTTGATTCCATCCTCGCAAATAAGTCCAAGTTCCGGCTTTGGACTGAGAGTTCAAGAGGGTTTTGAGGGATCTTCCTTACGCCGCAGATCTGCGCACAGATCTATGTGATCTGTCATGCTCCACCTCGCAACGAATGCAATGCTTAATTAGGGCAATCTCAGGAATGTGCCGATCGATTGTCTGCTGTATTTGCTCCGGTTGCGAAACACTTTTTTGGAGAATATAATTTTTTCATACATATTTGGTGTCTTTTTGAGTCAAATGTTTGTACTCTGTACATTTGAATTTGAATTTGTTGTTTTTCTTTCCTTTGATGGTTTAATTTAATCAATATTGTTAGAAAATCAGCACTTACCAGCTTTATGTAGAAGATAACAATCAGATCTCTGTTATTAATCTCTGAAAAGATCAGGAAAGTTAACTATTTTGATCAAGGAAGAGAATGCTTATGATGGTTAGAGAACATTGAATTCTAAGCATGTGAAGCCATTGAAATGCATCAACCATTATCATAGCGAGAAATACATACGGTCTGGACTACATCCAGACTCCAGAGTACATCACAAGATCATGATACCAAAATAGTTTTTGCAAATAATCAATACATTCACAAAAGCAGTGCGAGTGTGATGCGCCAAAAATTGCCAATTAATGGGTTTGACCAAACATCAAACTTAAATTATGGGCAATCCATCGGAAAAGATCACGCTAAAAAAGTGCAGAGTTACAAGATATCAGTCGCCTTTCTTTGGATGTAACTTGTCCAACATTTGTTTGTTGCCATATGGAGATGTCTATGTTGTTATTTCTGAGTAGATTGTAACACTGCCTTGATTAAGGAGTATGATCAATAATAGAGCGAAAGATGAAGACTGGGTAGCTAGATATAGCTATATTTGATGGGAAAAATCAGGGACCAAATAGCCACTGAAAGTCAGAGACTAATGTGTTTTTGGAAATTCCACCATGCCAGGAAACAATCTCCTCCTGAGAAAATTTTGTAAGCATAGTGAGGTGAATCAAACAGTAACTTCAAGGAAAACAATACCTAAAAACAACTTCCAGGACCTCATTTCCCATTTCTTGTTGTTCCTGGAGAATTTTGTTGGCCGATGTCGCGGCTTTGGAAGAAGACCAATGCATCTCTATCTTTTTCAAGGTAGGAATGTATCCCAACCCGGATGGAATCTCACCAAGTTCGTTACAATCTTCCACTCGAAGTCGTTCGAGGCTGGGGAATGGCTCCTCTTGGACAGCCCGTTCTTCAATGTCCAACTTAAAGATTTCCAAGCACTTGAGCTTCTTGAATTCACGGTCTTCCACCTCCCATCTTCTTCCTGAGAATGCATTCCTTCTTAACTTGAGCACCTCCAGATTAGGCAACTTCCCAGTTATTGAAATTACACTCCATGGCAACTTCAAGTCTTTCAGAGTCAATTTTCTGAGACTTGTGGGGAAACTAGGCAAACAATCACTGCCGTATCCTGTACGTGATAAATTCAGCGATTCAAGCTGAGTCAGGTACCTAAAATCTGGAATAGAAAAAGAAAAGATATACTTTAGACTTCGAAGCCCTGGAAACATTTTGAGTAGTTGGTCTGCTTCATCTCTCCCCGGGAAAGCTAGAGTTGAGAAAAACTCCAAGTGCTCTAATTGACCGTATTCCTTACCTTTAGACTATCAACTCTCAGCACAGGACTGATTTTTACCTGCCTCAACTTCTTCAGCAGCCAAAAGGTTCTTGGAATTACGAATTCCTGATACATAGTATCCACTACGATTAAGATTTCCAAATTCCACAGTTTATCAATGGATGATGGAATTTCTCAGCCCTGCATTGAATTGCTAGGTATCTCAAATTAACCATCAATGTCACTTCTTCTGGAATACGGCCATCTATTAGAATGGGCTCCAAGTCCAACACATAAAGAAGCCTAAAACTATTAAGAAGTCAGAGGGACATGGAAAGTATTGCCTTCTACAGCCACCAACAAGAACTACAGAGCGGACGTATCGACCAGAAGGTTTAGCACCGATGAAATTGGTCCAATCAGCATGAACGCAGAGGCGATAGTTCTCATACTTTGTGGGATTCATGGAAGAATGATAAACATCACTGTCATGGACCCGTTGTAGAAACTTATCCTCCTTAGTTTTTGCCAAGCAAAAATCGTGCAGTAAGTCATGAATACGACATGCTCTAACGCCACCAGTGGAACTTCTTTCTTCAAGGATTACCAGATTTCTATTGATCAGGTCCGACAGGTAGTCCTCTGCGATCTTATGTGAGCTCTTCTTTTCATATCTTGGTATTAGTCCTTCTGCGATCCACAAACTCATCAGCTTCTTGGCTCTAACAACTCTATCCTCTGGGAATGCTGCGAAATAGAGGAAGGATGGTTTCAAAACCTCGGGTAAATGATTGTAGCTTAGTTCAAGCACATCCATGCACCCTTTTCTTAGTTGCGTCCTTATAATCTTCCAAAATTTAATATCCTTGGCTGGAAGAATACCTGCAACCAAGACCACTGATAGAGGTAACCCTTTACAGTTTTTGGCAATCTGTTCACCTATTTCTGATCGTTCATCATCAAGAGGGAGATTATGTATTTGGGACAGCTTCACTTTCAATATTTTCCAACTCTCGTCATCAGAAAGTTGCCTAAGTCGATGCAGCCTGCATTCCGGCATCGCTTGTGATGCCAAATCATGGATTCGACTCGTGAACATAATTCGACTTCCATCGTTGTCATCAGGAAGTGAATCTTTTATTCTATTCCATGCTTCAATGTCCCAAATGTCATCTAGAACAACGAGATACCTTTGCTGCTTCAAGCATCTCCTTAGTTTGTCAGCCAACTCATAATCAGTTAATCCGGCGTCATTTTGGCGAGCACGGACACCAGTGACATCTGTTAAAATGTCAAACAATAACTCTCTACGTTATACACTTGGGAAACACAGCACCATGCACGTTTATAGAAGTGATAACCGATGGATCGATCATTGTAAACTTTTTTGGCTAAGGTAGTCTTGCCTAGACCCGGCATACCAACAATGGAGACAATGTGAAGCTTATTTATTCCTCTTGTCAGATGATCAAATATTGAACTTGTCTCATCTTCCAAGCCCACCACAACATCATCAAATTCGGGCTCGAAATTTTTGCTTGCTTCATGGGGAGCTGATTAGAATATGTCCTAGTATTTGGCAACATCAGATAACCGTAAAATGTCATATGAAATATGATGATCTATGGTTAGACATGAGATAACCACACGGTCTGCTAGGAAAACCAAATTCATAATTCGTCTCCAAAGGTCTTTCAGGTCCACTTCATCCCTTTCCTTTTGCAACTCCATAACGCCTTTGAGGTATGGTTCAAGGGAGACAAACTCATCATGGACCCTAACAACTTGATGCTTTGCAAAAGCTATATTATCAAGTTGATACTCTATCAAATCTTTTAACCTCTCCTTGAATAAATTGACAAATCCCATACCATTAGTCCTTGGAAAAATGAAGTCTGGTGACCTCAAAACAAGGACACAAAGCATTCCTTCACTTTATCAATCTTTCCCAGGAGACTAGAAATATGCACACTTAATCCGTCAATAGGAAGGCACCAATTGATGGCACTAATTAGTCTGCAAAGTCCATCCCCAGCATCTGATATTCTCTTCACTTCTGGATCCATCAAGAAGGATATAATGATTATCAAGTCCTCCTTGACGTAATCCTTCAAAGGGTCAGCTGAACCTTCAAGCAGAAAATCAACAAGCCTGACAACAACTTCACCCACTTGAAACTGGTTAGATGTTAATCCAACTCTCTGAACAAAGTTCAGCTGACGTTTAGGCGTTCTAGTCCAATCGCAATTCCACAATTATGTGCCATTAAAACTCTTGTGCTCATTTCGCCCCAGAAAAATAATACAAATATCAAAACTCAACGTAAACTTGTTTTTTGAAAATATTTACGTAACTCGCTATAGAGAAAAAAAAAAAAAAAAACGACGTGTCAACAACTTCAGATTACACCTTGTGGGTGCCACTCTCTCCGCCGGCTGACTCCGTCTTCTTCCAGGGAAAGTTATAAACGAAAGGGGCTGAAAGCCATAAAGGAAAAAAGACCATTAATTTGGACGTTTCTTTGAAATTAGCTATGTTTTCTTTTGATATCTTTTCTTATGCTAATTTCGGCGCTTATTTCCAATTCATTGTGTAATACGCTGGCTTTCAAGTACGACCTCCGTCCCCAAAAAAATAGTCCACATTAAGTTTTGAAATTTGTACTAGTTTTAGTACAAATTTGAAAACTAAATGTGGACTATTTTTCTAGGATAGAGGGAGTACAAAACTGAAAGGACTAGATTTTAGATATAGCTATTGAATGAAAACAAATCGGGGAACGAGTTATTTCTGACCGAATGCAACCGGAATGGGCAGATGATCTAGTGCAAAAGCATCAGGGAAGCATCAGAGGCCATCGGAAGGTGTCATTCCCTGATCCAAATCCTCTAATCTCTCTGGAGAACCTGCTACTGCATTAGCTTGTCGGAAAAAAAAAAATGAGAACCTGTTGGAACATGCATGTTCTATGTTTGTAAATTCTCAGTAGATCGTAACACTGCCTTGATTATTATATGATCAGAGCAAAAGTCGAAGAGTGAATAGCTAAATATAGGCTATATTTTCATGGGAAAAATCAGGAACGAATTATTTTCTGGTCGAATGGTCGAAAATTTAATGCTATGAAACCTTGAATCCGACAAAGGAAGCATGAGAAGCCTGTAAATAATGTACATAATACATTGAAAATACAGTTAGAATGTATGAATGTAGGGACTAAAGTGTAAGAATTATCAAGAAAGTATAGGGGTCAAATTTGTACAGACAGGTTAGTTAGTTGCTAAGTCGGTTTAAGGCATATTTAATGCCCAAATCTTTGTATAGTTATAACAAGAAGTTAATACTGAAATTAATACAATTCGTACAAATCTTCAAACCTTAAATTCTCTTTGATTTCTTGATCTTCTTCTGTCAAATTTGATCCAAACTTCGTAGATGGTATCAGAGTAGGACTAGATCTTGCTCCGTGCCAGTCCGCGCTCCGCATCAAACCTTATTTTTCCGGCAAAAAATGCGAATCAGCTGAAACCCTAGATCATTTGATCAAGCTTCAAAAATGCAGTTCCGCGAGACAACAATCAGTGTGAACGAGATCGTGAAGAAAGATTGTTGACTAATTACGGTGGAGGAGAATATATTCATCCACTATTCTTGCATCCATCAAACAATTCGTCCATTGTGGTGGTTTCAACAAAGCTGACTGACCAAAATTTTGTTTCATGGAGTCATAATTTGAAGAGATTCCTTGGAACGAAGAATAAACTTGGATTCATCAATGGAAGTGTCCGAGAACCTGACAAGAATCATCCAAATTTCGAGCAGTGGGAATGAGTCAATGGAATGGTAGTCTCATAGATCTTGAATTCGATATTAGAAGAACTTGTTGATAATTTTGATTTGGCAACAAATGCAGGGGAACTTTGGGAGGAATTGCAGGAACGATATGGAACCAACAATGCTCTGTAGATCTATCACCTGAGAAGGGAGATTGCCACGATTTCACAAGGTAATCTTACTTTGTCAGCTTACTATTCAAAATTGAAAAGGTTTTAGGATGAGTTGAACTGTTTGGATCCAGTAGTAGATTGCAATTGTAATTTTAGCAAGAATTTGACTAGAGAAAACCGGCATAAACTGCCGAAAGTTAAGAAAGCTTATTCCATGTTGGTTAATGTGGAGAAACAACAAGTGTTTCAGAAATTATATGTAGAAACTGTTGATCAAAGTGCTATGATGGTGCAAAGAAATAACATAGGATCTGGTTCACAATATTCTGGAAATTCTACTGGTTATAAAGGCCAGAATAGTTCAGGAACAGGACAGACGTGATATGGGAACAACAATGCTTACAAAGGATCAGGGAACATGGGAAGGAAAACAGTTTCAGGATTGACAAGGCGTTAAAGAAACTGATGAAATGTGACCACTGTGGAGTAACATGTCACTTGAAGGAAGGCTGTTTTAAGTTGATTGGTTTTCGGGATTGGTGGAAAGGTCTAAAGGAGAGGAGACAAGCTCTGGGGCCAAGAAATTCAACAAATATGACAGAAACACCATTGGACATGGAGGAGGGACATCCAACACCTGAACATCTTATGAATATGATGAAGATGATGCAACAGGAAATGTCGAAAATGATGAAAGGAAAGGCACATGCACATGAAGGGGAGAGGATCAATTTTGCTCATTACCATAATTTCTTAGGTATGAGTACTTCTCTTGCTTTGATTGCTCTTGATTTGACAGAATGTGAATTGGCTTTACTTTGGTTCTTTGGATACTGGTGCCACAGGTCATATGGTAGCTTTCCTAAAACTTCTTGCTTATTATAAATCAGTCACTCGTTTCCAGTGTTGTCAGACTCGGCTCGGACATCGATTCGGGTTGACTCGGGGGGTCGACTTGGATGATGTCATTATAACGTAATAAATAATATATAATTATTATATATATTAATAATTAAAAAAATTGATATTTATGTATCTTTTTTTACTGTAATAGTCGAGAAATATTATTTTAAAGCATTTAATTACAATTTAAAATAAGTATATTAGTTTAACAATGAATAAATTAATTATTAGTAATTAAAATTTATAAATATACAAGATAATTAACTTTTAGTATTAAAAAAATGTATAACATAAAAATCAATTTCAACATGTTTGAGATGTATTTAAAATTTTGAATAAAATAATAGAGGTTCAAATGTGAGAAAAATAATAAAAGAATATTTCTTTAAAAAATGATGTGTTTAATAATTTGGAGTGAAAAGTTTGGGAACAAAATGACAAAATTAATTCTTCAAAGAAAAGTTATTGGGTCATTTAAGAATAAAAGGCAAACATTTGGACCAGAAAGAGAAAGAAAGACACAGAACCCAAGGGGGAAAAAGTCAAAGAGTGGTCAGATTAGGCAAAAACCAAAAACTCCGGTCAACCCAGGTTTGATCGGTTCCCGGTTCGATTGGAGTTTTGACCGAGTCTTAAAATATGGAGTTTTTAAGTCATTCGGCTCGGACTATGGTCCGATTCTTGAGTTAACCGATTGACCTGGCCGGTCCGAGCTGAGTTTAATAATTCTGCTCGTTTCACACCAGTTACATTACCAGATGGAACCATCAAATCTGTAGAACATGTAGGAACTGCCAAGCTATCCTTAAATTTAGCAATAGATGACTGCTTGCATATACCATCTTTCAAATACAATCTACTTTCAGTAAAAAAAACTTGCAGTCACATCCAAAATTAATTGCTTCTTTTCCACCTCATTCTGTTTGTTGTAGGACCAGGTAACTAGAAAGTTGGTTGCTGTAGGGAAGGTCCTCAACAAGCTCTATGTGCTAGATTCCACTTCTTTGGCAGAAAGAACCATTAGCACCTTTCTCCAAACTCTTGTCAATCATCCCTTCATTCCACAAATTCAGTCAGGACCAGTTCATCAATCCAACCTAGCTGCTGAAAGTGACTACTCCAAATGGCATATGAGATTAGGCCATGTTCCAAATAATGTACTTAGCAAACTAGGAGTTGTTTCAGATTTTCCAGAACTCAATTCAGTTTGTAATGTTTGTCCACTTTCAAAGCAATGGAGATTACATTTTCCCATCAATTGTATACAAACTTCTACACTTTTTGAATTAATCCATATTGATCTTTGGGGCCCTTACAAAGTAAAATGTTTGAATGGTGCATATTATTTCTTGTCCATATTAGATGATTATAGTAGAACTACATAGACTTCCTCATGAATTCAAAAACACAGACTACCATGCTTCTCAGAAATTTCATCAAAATGGTTCAAACACAATTTGGTGTGACCATTAAAACCATTTGATCAGACAATGGATCAGAATTTACTTCTTCTGATTCTCAAGCTTTGTTCTTAGAATTTGGCATTTTGCATCTAAAATCCTGTCTCTACACTCCACAACAAAATGGAGTGGTGGAAAGAAAACATAAACACTTGCTTCAAATAGCCAGATCTTTGCCTTTTCAATATGGTCTTCCCAAACATTTTTGGGGAGATGCAATCCTCACAGCCACATACCTAATAAATAGGCTGCCTTCTTCTTTACTAAATTGAAAAACACCTTTTAAACTCCTCTTTTCAAAACCACCTGATTTATTTCATCTAAAAGTGTTTGGATACTTATGTTATGTAACAAACACCAATCCACATAAGGACAAACTAGCTCAAAGAGCTTATAGGACTGTGTTTATAGGTTATCCAATGGGACAAAAGGGATATAACTTGTATGATCTAGACAATAAAAGGATTTTAGTTTCTAGGGATGTTGTTTTCCATGAAACAACTTTTCCTTTCCAGTCATCTAATCAACACATACATGATTCTTGGTCACATCAACCATATAATGCTGATCATTTGCACTCAGATTGGAATGTAGATACTTTTGCAATTCAAATTCCATCATCAAATCCTGGTCGTTCTACACCAAATTTTGATCACCTCAGGCCTGGTACTTCCCTATCAGATTCTGATCATCACAATCAAATCTTCATTAAGTGATTCTACTATTATCACTAGATCCCCAGAAAATTCACATGTTAGAAAATCCACTAGACAGACAAAACCTTCTGCCTGGTTGAAAGATTTTGACACTGGAAACTTAGTTATAGATTCCTCTCTTCAGTTCTTACCTTGTCCAACTTCATCTCTTTATGCACCTAATACATATCCCTATCATGTTTCTCCCATGTTTTCACCCAGTCATATGTCTTTCCTGGCACATATAAGTAATTTCACATAACCAAAGAGCTTTTCATAGGCACAGTCAAATCCTGAATGGATCAAAGCTATGGATTTGGAGCTGGAGGCATTGGAAAACAATCACACATGGATTCTTACTTCTCTGCCTCCTGGAAAGACGGCTATTGGTAGCAAGTGGGTGTATAAAATCAAACATCACTTAGATGAGACTATTGACAGATATAAGGCCAGATTGGTGGCCAAAAGGGACAATCAAATAGAGAGAGAAGATTTCTTTGATTGTTTCTCACCTGTAGCTAAGGTGGTGACAGTTAGAATGTTTCTAGCCATAGCAACCGCAAGAGGATGGCCTTTTCATCAACTAGACATCAAAATGCTTTCTTACATGGATATCTAGATGAGGACGTTTACATGATACCACCAGAAGGATATCATAAGGCACAACCTGGCGAAGAATGCAAACTAAGAAAATCTCTCTATGGATTAAAACAGGCATCTCGGCAATGGAATATGAAGTTTACTACTCAGATCCAGAACTATGGTTTTAAACAGTCACTTCATGATCCTTGACTGTTTACAGGAGTTTTAGAAGGTCATTTCACTGCTCTGATTGTTTATGTGGATGATATCATCATCACTGGATCTTGTGAAGATGTTATCACCAAGGTAAAAACTTACTTGGATCAGAAATTCACTATAAAAGAGTTGGAGACTGCCAAGTATTTCCTTGGGATTGAATCGACTAGATCCATAGATGGTTTATATCTTAACCAGAGGAAATATATTCTGGATATCTTACAAGAGACAAGGTTGTTAGGATGTAAAGCCACTACTACACCCCTTCCAAAGGGGCATCAGTTTTCTGATTCACCTGGACTAGTCTTGTCAGATCCTTCAAGATACAAGAAGCTGGTTGGCCAGCTATTGTATTTGCACTTCACCAGACTAGATATAGCATTTGAATTACATCAGTTAAGCAAGCATGTTCAGAATCCTTGTGAAGAACACTAGCAGGCCTTAGTCCATGTCTTGAAGTAGTTAAAAGGTACTGTCTCACATGGTTTATGTTACTCCGCCAACAACTCTTTCAAGCTTGAAGTTTTCAGTGATGGAGATTGGGGCTCTAATCCCAATCATAGGGACTAAAGTGTAAGAATTATAAATAATTAAGGAGTCAATTGTACATATCAAGAAAGTATAGGGGTCAAATTTGTATAGACATGTTAGTTAGTTGCTAAGTCGGTTTAAGGCATATTAATGCCCAAATCTTTGTATAATTATAACAAGAAGTTAATACTAAAATTAATACAATTCATACAAATCTTCAAACCCTAAATTCTCTGTGATTTTTTGATCTTCTTCTACCAAATTTGATCCAAACTTTGTAGAAAGCCATTGAAAACTGAAATTAGCTCATCTCCCTCGATAGAGTCTGCTATCTGTGTTAGCTTATCCAAAATTATGAGCAATGGATAAACCTGTTGGAGCTCAAACATGAAACATGTTGTATCTTGCCTGATCTTGATGCCGAATTTCCACGTTGGAAGCAGTGTGTTCATGAATGGTATTCGCCAAAGATTGAAAGATTGAGTTGCACTGCGCTCATCTTGAAGGTAATCATACAGATAACAGACTCAAAGCAAAGAATTTTCAAAGACCAAATAGCCACTGAATGTAAGAGACTACTATGTTTTTGCAAATTCTACCATGCAAAGAAACAATCTGCTGCTAAGAAAATTTTTTAAGCATAGTGGTGGCTGTATATCCACATTATTAGTGCACTGCAGAAGAAACCTAAATATCAGGATAATGGCTGTCATTCAGTGCTTGAGCAGAGATGCACAATGTTAAATTTTCACTTGCAGACCGAATAAATTCTTTCACGTGGCCAAAAAAGGGGACAAATAGAGAAGAAAAGAGTAAACCCCAGATTGGTCCCATGTATTAGACCAAAATAAAATTTTGATCCCAAGTATTAACATTTAACTAGAATAATCCCAAACATTATAGTCGACAACCTTTTTTTGTTCCATTTTACTGTTCTGGTAACTTCATCGAGTTACTAACCATTCTTCAACCTTCCCTGTGAGGCTTAGGTACATGACTTAGTAAACACAAAATCTTAGGCTAAAGATTAAAAACACGAAGAAACAAGAATGGAATAGCCAATGGAAGCTGATATGATACTTATCCAGATTATATGCCCCTTCAGGGTGCCACTCTCTCCACTGGCTATCCCTGTCCACCTCCAGGAGAAGAAAAATGAAGAAAGGTACAGAAAGAATTAAAGAAAGAAAGGGGAAACAGTCTAGCGTCAAGGGGCTGCTGCTGTTGCAAGGGTCATCATTGTCCTTTCGGTAGAGATTAGCTCTGTAGCTGTTTCTTCATTAACTTAATTTTTTTTGTTGACATGTTTGTGCTAATTTTCGGATCTTAATTTCCAATGCATTATGTTCACTATGAGAACAAAAGAACAAAACTAAAGAACTAGATATATAGCTATTGGACGATAAAAATCATGGATGAATTATTTTGCGTGAATGCAAGGAAATGATAGATGTTCTAGTGCAATGAGACCTCGTAGTCTAACAGGATAGACCTCGTACTCTAAAATGCATTGATCAGTGCTCGAGAAATCAGTTTATCTTTCATGAGAGAATCAAGAAACGGATTTGGACGTAAAACTTTTTTATCAGCCCATCTTCATTACAACTTTCCAAAGAAGAATGCTGACTTCATGAACATTCTTCACCATCACATAAACCAAATTGAGTTGCAAAAACTTGACCAAAGAATTTAATATATCAGAGGTAAAGGGGCTACTAAGAAAGATTACGAAAGACAAGAAAAACGATCCAATATCAGACACTCATTTTCCAGATACATACATTGCCACCGAAATAAACTGAGTGCTGCTCCAGGTTGGCTGATGTCGCAACAGAATGTGCTACTGCATTAGCCTGATCTTGATTGGAGCTCAAAAACATCCCATATTTACTTCATCATTAAACCAAACTTCAGCAGAGGAATGGTTTTCTTCATCAAACAATGTTTATCATAAATTGTGACGAATTCATATCCACCACCGAGATTGGACCGGCCCATCTGCCGAGTAAAGGGTCCAACCGACTCTCTTGAGGCGGTGAAGTAACATTAAACCTAGTAAGACTCGAAAATCTTCCAGGTTATTCCATGTCTATAAATACGGATGATTACTCCACAATTACGGTACGCTATCTCTAGCACCAATTACCACATACATACTTCTTCATAACCATATTTCTGACTTAAGTATCGGAGTGTCTACCCTCGGGAGACCCCCGAGGTCCTCTTTTGCAGGAAACCCTAACCGGAATTCTACTGTTAACCCGGCGGTACAATTTCATGCATCGTCAAGTGGCACGCCCAGTGGGACCCGATAACTAGGGTTTGTGTCACAAGCTTTCTCAAGCTTTCAAAATTTTCCAACCTTGTTCCACCGTTGCAAATTAGGGTTCTCACCCAGAACATGATGGCAGTAATCGGTAAATCTCAATCCAACACGGCATCAATGGGCAGGCAGCGAAGCCCCGATGACAACGAAACCTTGGTTAACTTCCAAGAGAAACATAGGCAGAAAAAAAAATCAACCATCAGTCAAGGAGAGAAAAAACTCCTACGAAATCATCTAATCCCGCGGATGAAAGGGTGCAAAATCCTAGCAATCATTACAAGGCTCCCAATCCACGTGATGAAGAACGGTTGGCTGAAATCGAAGTAGAACTCAACAAATTGCAAGAGGATAACAGTCTCAATTAGAGGAAGAAAAAGTACATCCTAGAAGAATATCGACGCTGTTGTTTGCTTGGTCTGCTTGATCTAACAGACCAGGAGTTAAAAGACATAATCGATGAGAAGGAGGCGCGTAGAACATTGGTCTTGCTTGAGAAGATAAATGGCAAACGCAAACTCCCAGAGGACGAAAGCAATAAAGATCAGAGAGAAATCCCCAACCGCGAGACTTCCTGCGGAGAATTCTTAACTGCTCACAGCACAGCCTTCTGGGACTCGTTTGGTCAAGCATATCCAGCATTCAAAATAGCGCTCAAAGAGTTTGCCAAAGAATATCGGCGCAAGAAGCAATCTCGCAGCCAATGTCGCCAAGGTTCACCTAGCATCAAGTTTGTATCTGAAAGAGACTGGAATCCCCCACCGAGAGGTAACATACACTCTCGCTTAGGGCCTAGAGTTTCCCCGGAGAAGTCCTACCGCGATAACAACGATATGTATCATGCACCACCTCGAGGTACAGGTTATCCTCGGGAGGATCGTTATCATAATGACGATTTTCAGCTACGAGAAAAACCTTATGCTCCTCGACGTCAGGGGGAATATGACAACCAGAACACTTCCATCCGTGAGTTGATGAAGCGAATGATAGGAATGATCGTTGACAAAAGTCCATTTATACCAAAGATTCGTGATTGCCCAAAACGTCAGGACTTTGACTTCCCCAAGAATACGTCCAAGTCATGAGAATTAGGAACGCATCATTCGATTTCATGGCTAAAGCCCTTCCATCCTATCTCACTGGACAAGCACAACGGTGATTTGGACAGTTGCCAGAAGGGAGTATCACCAGCTTCGAGGACTTGTCAGTTAAATTGGCTACACACTTCTTCCCCAGCAACAAATCACAAGAATGTTAATTGACCTTTCCTCAATCAAATAAGGGCAAAATGAGAACCTTTCTGATTTCCATCGTCGTTTCATCCCAGAAACTCTCCAAGTCAAGATTATTAAATCGTCTTTAAGGATTTCAACATAATCCTTCAAAGGGATAGCTGAACCTTTCAAGTAAGAAATCAACAAGCCTGACTGCAATTTCGCCCACTTCAAACTTCTTGGATCTTGAGGACTTTGAAGCTTTCAGGAGTTTTATGATCATCCCCGGAGTGCAAAGCATAAACTTCTGTAGTAGATCCGAAAGAAGAATTTCCCATCCTTGGGCTATCATTTCATCCTTCCCTTTCAGCAAGTAAAAGATGGACAAACATGATGCATCGTGCACTGAATCATTCTCATAATCGATGAAATCTTTCAGAATCTGATGGTCAATGCATCTTTTTGTTAAGAAGAGCACAAGGACTTTGAGGAATCTTAGCTTTTCTGCAAGAACCAAAAATTGGTTCCTCACAGGAACAACAGTACCAGTTTTCAAGTTGGCAAGATCCTGGAAATTCACTACAAGACAATCAACAAAGATCAGGAACTCCTCGCTTGGGCAAGACAATGAATTTTATTGAGTCCAACAAAGCAGCAAGCATTTTCCTTAGCTGTGACTCGTATTTTTTAGCAGCGTGGCTCCCATCTTCATTTTCCAGTAAAACTTTAAGCTTAAACTGTGCAATGTACCATTGAAAATCAATATTACGTTCCTTGCAGATGATCATGCGGCTGATCAACATCTTCAGGAATCTCAACTCTTGCAGTCGAAGTTCAGGAAAGCCAGATTGGATCTCTAGCCTACCCAGTTCATCAACAACAGAATCATCTGTAGAGGGAATCTGAGCCATTTTTTACTGTTTCTTCACTCTCTGTACTGTCTGATCTCTGTTTTCCTCTGCAAGGGATGTATACTAAAAAATGCTGAATGCAAACTCTCCTGAACAAATTTCTGCTGAATTTTAGGCCTCTCAGCAAGTAAACTCTCAATTCCTGCATTCACCATAAAACTATATCATTTAGGTAGCTGTTACTGACATAGCAATTAGTAAATTACATATAGAAAAAAACAAAATGGCTGGCATGACTTTTCAACAACTGCAACTCAGCCCAACAACTCCATAGTATATATCCTTTTTCACTATGATTTATATGTTATTGTCAAGGCAAAATTTTAACTCGTAGGTTAAAGAAGCAACAAAAGAAATGGTTTAGCCATTGGAATCGCTTATGATACTTGCCCAGAGTACATGTTGGCCACTTTCTCGCTGACTCTCCCCAGTTCCTTCTCTGTCTGCCTAGTTTGCAAGGGTTGTGATTGTCAATTGCCTAGCACCTGCTGAGATTTCGTTGGAGGTAAGGAAGAAGGCATTGGCGGTTAATGATCGGCGCTCAGCGCTTTCAGATAGGCAACGGTAAATGCCATTTTAGATAATTTTATTTTTTACCTTTCCAAAGTCCTGATATCTTTTTTCTTCTCCATTGAAGTTTATCAACAAAAATTAAGATTGAAACTTTCAAGGAAGTTTCTTGACATTTTTAAGCTTATCTTCTGTGTTTCTCCAATGCATTGTGTTTTGGTGGGACAAAGCGCCCCAACAGTCTGTAATGCTCTTTGGAAAAGGGAAAAAATTAACCAATACCTGAGTTCATAATGAATCTCACCATGACCTTAATTCCAATTTTCTATCATGATATTTATAGAAGCCATTAAACAAAAGTAGCTGATTCCATGGCCAACATTAGAGCAATAGTACAAAACTGAAGAACTAGCCATTGGATGTGAAGAGTCAGGGAATGAATTTCTCTGGTCGAATACAGGGGAATGCTACTAGATCTGATGCAACGAAACCTAGGATTCTAGCAGGTGAACATGGCAAGCCATTCAAATGCATTGACAACTGCTCCGAAATTAAACAAGTTAATCACCCTAGAGAACCTGGTATTGCATTAGCTTTTACATGCAAATATAACCAATACAAAAACTATTGGAGTTCAAAATTCCTGAGTAGAATGGTGTCTCATAGTGATTTTCACCAAAGATTGATATCACACTCAACCATTACATTAGCCAAATTTTAGATGACCCAAGAATGTAACATATCAGAGGTAACAGAATAAAAGTACAGATTTAGTTTGAAATTTACATTTTCCATGACCCCTCATGCTAATCAGCCAAGAACACAGAAACAGCATATGTTTTCGCACTTCACAACATGTGAATGTTGGGATGGAGGGGGAGAGAGAAAAAAAGAGTTTCTGATAAGGATCAATACATATGCAAAACCAATCTTCTTGGTGAAAACTGCCAATCAGGGTAATCAACTAAACGCCCAAGTTACATGCACCTGAGATCTTCTTCAAAATCCTAACATTTACTATGAGTTGCAGTAATGAACAAAAGGATGGAATGAAAACCTAAAATAGATGGTGGATAAAACAATTAAGTGTACTAAATCTTGTACAGACAATGGTAATAGTGCACGACTATGAAGACAATGATTTCAGAGTTCAGACAAGAAAGATGAGTAAAAGAGGTAGTGAAAAGCATTAACTGAGGCACCGGCCCAAATCAATCTTTTCCCACAATGTACAGAGTTGCTTAGGAACCTTGGATTGTAATCTACATGGTTTCTAGCTCGAGCAACATACATCCCCAATAATACTACAATTACCAAACAATTTCCTACGTCCATATTCAACCAAGAAATGTGGCAGACTCGATACAAATTTAGAATATGAATAGTGGGTGGATCTCCATCTATGCTAACTCTGACCTCAAACCAACTTCTACTAGGCAACTTGAACCAAAATCTTAAAGCTACAAGAGTTGTACTGGTAGTTAGGAGCTCTGATTTAGATAATGATTTGAGAATGTGAGGCACTGTCGTCGTCAAAGCAACCAAACTACCAGCAAAGGCTCTTGTTCTTCCCATTGTAAACACGAAAACTGCTACAATTTAACGAAATTGGTTCAATTTAAGGCTATTGAAGTGCCCTAAGATGACATGGTGTGGCCTCACTCACATAGTAAAGAGACAATTCATTTCAATATTAACAGCACAGAAATCACAAAAATCTGCAATCAAACCAAATATGAAAGTGATCAGCACAGACAAAAGGCACAAGACCCATAGCATTTGATTTATAAATCCAAAAAATCCAAACTTTGCTGCCAAATTACAAAAAGGGGCAAAAAAAAAAAAGAATAATAGGCTTAATACTACTACAAATGCGATTAAGAGAGCGGAAATAAGATGGATGAAACTCACCAATGAAACTGAAAGAAATGCCCTCTCTTTCCTTCTTTACGGAGCAAAATATTCCGGCCCGGGAGCATCCAATCGGCGGCGGAGGGAAGAACCGGGCTGCTGGAGAAGAGGAGAAGGAGACAAATTTCCGGTAGTTGGGAAGTCAACTGGATCGTGCTGTGGAAATGGAGGCTTTCACTGAGGAAGTGATCATCCGGACAACATCGTTTTGATCAATTCAACTTCAAACGTGTTCAAAAAGGTCAACCCCAATTTTTTTTTTCCCCTTTTCTCCCATGCAACCACGGATTCACACCCACTAACCATGCATATATAAAACCAACAAAATACAGTTAGATTTCCATCATCCCATTGACCTGTTCCGGGGTTCACATGGGATAGAAGAATAACAGGACACATTCTTTATTTGGTTCATCCTGCATGTAGGAAACAACTGTTCTTAGTCAATTTTTATTTTTTAGTGTTTTTCTTGGACTCATTTCAACCCTCATTAATTGTCAAGAAAAAAAATGTCATTTTCTGGTTTGGATGGGTTATAATGACCGTATGGTAAACAAATGCCACTTTGTGCTACTAATGGATTTGTTAGAAACAAAGAGATTTTGACCCTATTCAGAGATGAACCAATTTGGTTAAAGAAAAGATCTTTTCACAATGAAAAGCTGCAAACTTTTGTCTGTTTCAAAAGAAAAAAAAAACTACAAAAATCAGTATATTAATTGATTAATGAAATGTTAGTTTGATTGCCATTTTTTTTTTTTTTGGGGGGTAAAACTTGGTCATTCATTTCCGCAGAAATGGAAGAAGATTCTCCTTCTTGAGAGGAAATGACTAGTTCTTTTCGATTCTCTTGTGAGGGAGGTATCATTTTGCTGATTAACCCGTCAAATAAATTATCAACTACCCTGCTACTTAAATTTTTACCACTATAAAAAGGAAGAAATTCATAAGTAGAGACAACCTACAAGTAGAAAGAGATCAATATCTAATGGCAGGAGGAGGAGGAGGGGGAGCAGCAGGAGAATCATTGACCTTGGAATATACACCAACATGGGTGGTTGCAGTTGTCTGCACTGTTATTGTTGCCATCTCTCTTTTTGTAGAAAGACTCATTCACTTTGCTGGCAAGGTACTTAACTGATATATTCACATAATCGGATCACCGCTTGTTGTTGTTGTAGTTAGTTGTTGTTGATATTCGTCGTTATTAGGTCCTGGTTGAATCCTGATAATACTGACTTGTCCATGACAGTATTTTCTTAAGAAAGGACAGAACCCTCTCTATCAGGCCTTGCTCAAGATCAAAGAAGGTTCAGCATTAATTTGTTTATGAAGCTTTTAGGCGTGTTGCTACTGTTTGTGATGATATATTGCTTACATCTCCAATTTATGTGTATCCCGCTTTTCAGAATTGATGCTGTTGGGCTTCATATCTCTGCTTTTGACTGTGTTTCAAGACAAGATCAATAAAATTTGCATTCCCAAGCACTTGACTGATGACTGGCTTCCTTGCAAGAGGAAGGATACATCTACGGCTGCAGCAGCCCATTTTCAGACCTATTTCTCGTCTTTCTTTCCAGGAAATCATCGCCGGCTCCTGGCTGAGGCATCGGCTTCTGCAGGCTATTGTGAAAGCAAGGTGTGTATATTTGTTCCATCCAAACAGTTGGAAAGCTACTCATGGTTATCTTTTCATGAAGCAATCATATATGAAGAGAGTTCTAACAAGTACATTTGTTCCCAGAGATTTTCATGAATAAATCATACATGGAGACAGTTCATACTATGAAATCATCTGCATGACTGTACTTAAAATTAATACTGCTTTTTCTTTGCAACTTTCTTTTATTTACTTGTGGATTATCAGGGGAAGGCACCACTGTTATCTCTTACGGCTCTGCATCATCTTCACATATTCATCTTCGCGCTAGCTGTTTCACATGTGATCTTCTGTGCACTAACAATTCTTTTCGCAAGTGCGAAGGTAATGATGAGTAACATCTGGTCTGAGAGAGTATATGTTTTTTCCAACTTCTGATTGCCTATGCAATGGTATTCCTAAAACGTTATACATAGAATTTTGATCATGTCTAACATGCATCGTAGATTCGCATGTGGAAAAGTTGGGAAGATTCTATTCGGGAAAGAGAATCTGATCCGGAAGAAGGTGACGCTACTTCCTCATTAAATACTTCCCCTGGACAATTTATGGCAGCCCTTGATCCTTTTTGTATTTGTTTAGTATAGGTGGTCATTCAATTCATTTTTGTGCCTGTGATACAAATAGCTTGTGTGTTCCTGATAAAAAAGAATTTCGCTTCTTCAATAATCACTACTACTACAATATACTGGAAGCATATTTTTTTCACCTCACAAAAGATCAGAAGGGCCTTGTTTGAATTCTGTATTGGTACACCATGAGATGCAGTGTGCACTTGCATTTGATTTACATTAGTTACAATATTGGTAAGGGATCCTGTTTCTGATACAGCTTCAAAGTTCAAGTTTGTCCATGGGGATGACTTTATCAGAGGCCGATTTAAGGATTCAGCTGTACTTCGTTGGGTGGTAAGTTAAAATAAATCTGCACAATAAAATCTTCTATAAGTAAATAAACACAACAAAACCATGAGATCTAACAAAAGCACTACATGTTATTCGTCCGCCTTCATTGCCATGAATGAAGAGCTTCTCTAAACTGTTTTAATCATTTCGAGCCATAAGGCAGTTATCATTTGAACCCGTAATTGCAAGAAAAGTAAATGACTTCTGTGATCATCTTTGATTCTTTACATCTTCTTGATTTGCAGCTTGCATTTTTTAAGCAATTTTATCGGTCGGTGACCAAGAAAGACTATGAAACTCTGCGACTTGGATTCATTATGGTAAACATATCTCTGCTTTCGTGGTTTTAAACATGATCTTTCTGTTTCTTCATCTTTTGAGAATTCTGATGTCCCGATTCATTAGACTCATTTTCGGGGACATACAAAATTCAACTTCCACAAATATATGATAAATGTGCTTGAAGAAGATTTCAAGAAAGTTGTCGGTATAAGGTAAACTAAAACCAAGCTCATTGATATTCAGTATAATCTAAGCTTTCTGGCATCCATCTTTAAACTTTTGACTTTGATTTTTATCTTCTTGCTGGATCTGACTGAATTTGGTGTATAATTTTGTAGCTGGTACCTTTGGATATTTGTCGTTCTATTTCTTTTGCTGAATGTGTATGGTGAGAAACTTCATTCAATGATTAGACCCTCCACTCTTTAATGCATAAGGATTATGCAAATGATCTTTTTTTCTTATGCAGGTTGGCATTCATATTTCTGGATATCGTTTATCCCCTTCGCTGTACGTAGTACTGCTTCGATTGCGACTCTGTTACTACTACTCTACTAGTACTAGATGATTTAGAGTCACAATGGCAATAATATCGTTAAGCTGAATGATTTTTTTTTTTTTCGATAAGCTCGGGGAATATATTAGAATGTGAATTGAAATTTAAAATACTGACATGTTTCATATACAGACATCTTAGTTCACTTAGAAAGACGAGGCAAAATTGTTCGTGCAAACTGTTTTGTTTGAATGGTGCTAAAATCTGAAGCTGATTTTTTTACCCTTTTTGCAGCTTTTGCTTGCGGTGGGGACTAAACTCGAGCATGTAATCTATCAGTTAGCTCAAGAAGTTGCTGAGAAGCAATCAGTAGTGCAAGGAGAATTGGTGGTTAGGCCTTCAGATGATCACTTCTGGTTCAACCGACCAAAGATTGTCCTTATGCTGATTCATGTCATCTTATTCCAGAATGCTTTTGAGATGGCAGTTTTCTTCTGGACCTGGGTAAGTATTTATTTCCGTCAGGTTGATAAATGCTTCTGTTTAAGAGTCTTCTTATGCTCTAAAATTTTTTTCTTTAAACCGTGTTCTAACAATCTCAGGCTCAATATGGATTTAATTCATGCATCATGGGAAAAATGGCGTACATCATCCCCAGGCTCGTCATTGGGTATAATGCCCTTCTAAACCTTCCTCTTTTAATTTTAGCCTTTATTTGTGATTAGGCATGTGTCTTTGCTTCATTTTTTGATGCAAAATTAACTGCATTTGCTGATTTTTGTTTCGCAGGGTGTTCGTGCAGTTCATTTGCAGTTTCAGCACCTTGCCACTATATGCGTTAGTGACGCAGGTTATTAATGCCGCATTTCATTTACTCATGTGTATCCAAGTAGTACTCCCTCCGTCCCAAAATTATAGTCCAATTTGGATTTTACTTTTTTAGTACAGATTGAAGTGAAAGTGAAATCTCAAACTGGATGATGATTTTGGAAACAGGGAGAGTATTATAATTGCTTAATGATTGCATAATCCAATCGTCTAACATGTGGTTCTCTGTTCTTTTTGTGTCGAACCCACAAAATAAAAGATGGGAAGCTCATTCAAGAAAGCAATATTCAAAGAACACATACAAGTCGGACTTACGGGTTGGGCTCAGAAGGCAAAGAAGAAGGAGGGCAACAGGAAAGGAGCAAGAAGCAATAATCCTAGCCAGGTTGGTCCCAGAGAATCTCCTTCGGTAGAAGCAGAAAAAGTTCTACTAGAGTTGGAGCCTGTTACTAAGCATGAAAATGGTAGAGCTCACGATGAAATTCAGCCTGAAACATAGGTTCAACGTTTGAACTTTTATAAACCAACGAAAAGCGTAGGATCACCGGATAGGCTCATTTTTAGTATTAGTTGCACTGAGTGTTACAAAATGAAAATGTAAAATGCAAACTTGTGAGGTGTGGTTCCCCTGGCTGTAAATTTACCCAATGACTGGATTTTCCTTAATATTTCTTCCATATAAAAAAAATAATAAAAAATGTTATTGTTCTTGTATTAATAAGAAATCTATTAAGCTAACAATCCAGAAATAAGGACTAGTTGAACACTTCATGATACCTAACCCTAACACATGAGAAGAAATATGCATAATCAAGTAGAGGGACCACATTGTATGGGTTTTGTCTAATTACACTAATTGTCAATCTTCCTTGAGGTATAAGAAATTTGTTGATCACAACATAAATTACCTAATACTTCCTCTATCCCAAATTAGATTTTTACTTTTAGTTCAATTTGTATTAAAACTAAAAAATTCAAATTAGATAATAACTTCGAGACGGAGGGAGTAATTGGTTCATCACATTTCAACTTCCAAGTATATAAATATCGTGAAAATGCTGCTTATATCGATAATTAAGATTTACAATAATTAATCTAAAAAGTACTATAACTTCACCTGCTATATTCGTTCACCACTATATGTTCAAAAATAATTTAAGTCCCACCAAAACTTCAGCGTCTGTCCTTTTTCACTTTTTCTTCCAATTTCCGTCAAAAAGCCAACGGAAGCATGACTTGCACGTGCCTTTGTAGAAGGGGCAATTATGTCATTTAATCACGTGCAAGGCGGAAAAAAATTAACAATTGACCTGGGTCATGGTCAAATCCGTATGACCCGTATCCATTTCTTTTTGTCTGAAACATATATACTCCAAAAGTCAGAAAACGGTCAAACAAAAAAAAACGAAAAGGAAAATACACATCTTCGGGATATGGGGGAGAAAGGGGAAAAATTCTAGGGTTTTCAATTTCACGCCTGAAATTGAAATTTTAGGGTGTAAATGGGGAGTTTTGGACAGTTTAGGAGTTTCGGCTGAAGAAAGAGCTTACAAATTAGGGTTTATAAGGTCAGATCTGTGGCATTAGATTGGTTTTCTTCATAAAACGATAAAACGATAGAAAGATGTGGAGGTGGAGGGATTACACTCCGACGGAAGGCGAGGACGACGGCGACGGCCAAACTCCCATTTACGGTACGTTTTTGGGGTTTCAACCTGATATATGCGTATAGGGACTTCTGAGTTTCTGGGTTTAGGGTTATTTCATATTTTATTACATGCGAGATAATTTCATGTAGGGTTTTACGTATTATTGTACTAGGGTTTCTGGGATTCTGAGTTTATTTTTCTGAAAGTTGTGTTAGATCTGGGATTTGAGTTTGAGTATTATTTGCAAGAGTGTTTTTTTAGTGAAATTTGTGTATGTCGGTTTATGGGTGTCAAGTTTTATATTAATTATTATCTGGATTCAGGGTATGGGGATTTTTTATTTTATAAAAGTTGTGGTTTCAAAATTTCAAGTATATTATAAATATAAAAAAATGGTTAAGTCAAACTAACCATATACTATGTCTATCCCGTCGTGCACTGCGCGACCAGCGGTTTTTTTTTGTTAATTATTTTCGAAAAAGGCTCTTAATTGTAGAGGATTGAATTAGATAAGAAGCATCATGTGCAAATCTTGGCTTGGTTAAGATGATGGTTTTTAACAATTAGCATCTTGGCTCTGTTTTCCAATGGGAAAATAGGTTTTTTATGTCCAACTATTAGCATCTGGGAAATCCTTTCAAACCTTCTGAAATCTTCCCGGACGTGATGAAATTCGCAGAAGCTTGCAATGTCCCGGCTGCCCGAATTGCGAAAAAGGAAGGTCTTAGGGATACAATTCAGGAGATGTTGGATATACCCCTGGTCCATACTTATTGATGCTATCGTGTCTCATCAACTCTTGCCTCAGATGCCTCCTAGTGGAGCTTTCAAAGATTTTGTTACCTACCCCCTTATACAATTCGCAGCATCAAATATGTAATAACTTTGTCTCTACGCAAAAGGATCAATGGCAACTCCGGAATTTTATGTATATGTTGTGATACAATATTTTTTGAGAATAAGGATCTAGTACTTTATACTTCTAGACCACCACAATTTTTATTTTGATACGCCTCTATTTAAATATTACATTATATATCTTTTTAAATGTAACGGATACCCTTACTTATCATTGAATGAACCATTGGGGATTATGGTCAAAATTCATAGGAGTGATGTAGAAAGTGAGGTAAGGCTATGATTTATGATATTTTTGCCGAAAGAATGAAATATCATCCTTAAGTTTGGATTTTCATTTTTAGTTCAATTTGTATTAAAACTGAAAATCCAAATTGGACAATAATTTCGGAACAGAAGAGTACATACTAATATGCAATTGAATTAACTGAAAAAAAAAAAAAAAAACACAGGAGCTACGTAAGGCTGCATGCTTGTGGGAAATCTTGTTAGTTTGGCTTAGAGTCAAATTTGCGTGCATGTCCTTTTGACTCAGTTTGATGTTGCTATATTGAATCAATATAATTGATTAATCAAATATATTTCCGAAGTTTTGTTTTGGTTAATAGTTTCTACGGCTTTTCGTACTTCAGTTTGATTTATTGATCAAATTAATCCAGTTTTATTTTTAATGACGATGGACTGCTTTTGATTGTTTCTATACAAGTGGTGTCATCGGTGAAAGTAACAAATAAGTTTATCGTTTCGCATAAAGCAAGTTCAGAGGATCTAATATGGAGTTCAACAAGTAACTAGAAACTTAACTTCAATTTGAAACACCAAGTCATCAATACGTTTTTAGGTTCATGTTATACTATAATTAAGAGCTCTATAAATCTTTTAGTTAGGGATATGAAATTCAATACCTGCTTATATATAACTTCAAAACAATTAACAGAGGATTTGGTTACTGATACATTAATATCTTTAGTTTGGCTGCTTTGTTCATTAGCAGTTAGAGACAAACAAATTATTTAAGCAAGTGAATGTTTATTCATCGATGCATAAGTTTGCAACATGGATAAGGTTCTATCCTATATGACAAACCTTGACAGCTGTTAAAATCCTATTAAAGTGAAAAATAAGTTAAAGAAAATTGTTTTAAATATGAAATGGTTAAGTCAAATTAAACTATATATAACTCGTGTATTTTTTTAATCGTAAGATTTCATCCTCTATTTATTGTAAAAAAAAAAAAAAGAAAAAAATTTTGAGGTGGAATTACGTGTGAACTTTTGTTAACTTTCAAATGGTATCAGGATTTTCGATCTATTGATTTGTAAATATACTTTGATTAATTCAGTGGTTTATCTGGTTTGACTAATTCGGCAGTCATTTTCAAAGTTTGACCAACCCAAAATAGATTTTGATTAGCCTCACAGTATATCTAGAGATTTATTGCTTAGAAGGAGTCGTGGCCATCTCTTTTGGGTTTGAGATAAGGGTGTTAGTTACAGCTTGAAATAGATCATATATACAAAGTTGAAATTTCTTTAAAATGAATTAAAAAGAACATGACCAATATATAAGTTTTATGTATTACTTCTTTTTGACTCAGGTGTATCAGAGAGCCAACTTTGTTGCTAATTACTCCATTGGTCCTTATTATAGGATATTTTAATTTATTTTAAATTTCATTTAATATATTCTTTCAATTAAAAATAAAATCTTAAAAATATTTTAGAATAATCAGAATAATACAATAAATGTGAAAATATATTTTTAAGGTTCTATTTCCAATTAGAAAAATATACTAAATAAAATTTAAGACGAATGAAAATATCTTATAATAAAAACCGGAGGGAGTATTTAGCATCATTGGCAACTCGTGGACCTATAGGATTACAAAATTTAGGTTTGCCGCTATCAAGTGTTAAATCCTAAGTTCTGGTTACAACATGATGTAATAGAAGTTATATATCTCAAAAAAGTGCAAACTTTGTGGTAGCCTCTGTTATTGCAACAAAAAAATAATGTAAAAATTGAAGTCAACTCTCTATAACGGTCATCCGTAATCAAATATTTGAAGAAAGTAAGCATTCATTGATATACTCATTGAGAAAGTGTTATCTTCTGAAAAGAATTTATTCAATTTAAATATCAATTAGACATAACGATAGCATCCGAAATCATATTTGCAATGGTTAAAAAAAGAGTAATATATGATATTGACACATGAAAAAAAAGGTGAAAATACTCCCTCCGTCTTAGAAAAGAAATCCAATTTGTTAAACTAAAAATTATAATAAAGTGGATTATTTTTCTAGAATAGATAGTATAAAAATGATCTAGTTTAGATCACATCCTTTTATTTTTATATTTCATCATTAAGCAGGTGTATAGTTTAGGTTAAAATCACATCAGTTCTTATTTTTTTAATTATTTATATACCATTATTATTTTAAAAAGAATTAGTTCCATTATACCAAGTCAGACAAAGTTGGGGATCCAATCAGAATTCACTAAAAAGAGATGGGTATGACGTGTCAAATTAAAATAATTAAGGTTGAAATATTTGCCTTCCTACGTCAATGTGTATCTTCTCCCTATAAAAAGACATGCATGCCATATTGCCTTTCTACCAATCTTCCCATCAAGCAATCATCATCACATATAATTTTGTTCCCCCATATCCCTTCTCAAATTAATCAATCATCAGAGCTATGATGAAGATCAAGAAGCTGGTGGCCATGATTTTGATGGCTTCAATGCTGCTCTTGATCTTTCATGCTGCAGAAACACATGCCCAGACTGATTGTTGCCAAGCTTGCAAAGCTAATTTCACTTATTGTCAGCTCACTACGAGTCCCAATTGCGCATGCTCCATTTTGCAGGACGGATGTTATGGGAACTGTTTTACCACAACTGGTATTGTTTGTGCCGCGTAACTGATCTGCCCTGATCGAAGAATTAAAGCCAGCTTCCACTTATTCTCCCATGGTGATTGTTAATTTTCTCTCCTTTAAACAAAACTGATGTTTAGCGATCGATGGATCATGGCATGGATGATGAATAAATAAATGGCTTGATGTGAATCATCCAATGGCTGTATACACATATATCTCTTCCATCTCAGAAAAATAGTTTACATTATAATTTGGAATGGTACATTATACTGTTTTAAATTATGATAT